ACTTACAGCCAAGACAAAGGTGAGGTCAGTAGACAGAGAATATCTTAAAGACAACATCAGGGGAAAGGAGATGTTAGCTCAGGTCATGTGGGTGATCAGACTTCAGCAGAGGGATGGTCAGGCTAAGATACTGAGGGCAGAGCTTCTTGCTGAAGGATTCAGCAGGGTTCTTGCCAAAACTGTGTTTTACAAGGAAGTACACATTTGGATGTAGGAGGTATTTTAGAAGACAAGTTTGGTCAAGCAAAAAACAAATTGCTGAAGGTATAGGGACATGGCAAAGGGGGTGATGTAATCAGGTTTGAGAGGAGATATCTCTAGGAATGGAGCAGAGAATGGGCTGGAATGAGCAGAAACAACATCAGGAGTTCATATAAAAGAAGATGACACATACTAAGATGGAGTTGAGTATCAACTCCGGAATAATTTAGGATATGTAATGAACTGGATTTGGTGACTCTGAAAGTGGAAGAAGAGAAGGAGCCCTGGATGGTGTAACCCTACAGCTTCTGGGCACAGGTTCTGGTAATGTCAGCCAGTAGGACTGTCAGCATTAGTTAAGTTAGTTTGAACAGGAAGATAACAAGTTTCTGCATCACACTCACAGGCACTCTGCCTACATTACTCTAGGAGTTGGTATCACAGACCCTTTAATGCAGACCCTTTACACACCTGTAATATGAATTTCTGTAAACACAAATCAAAACTCATAAAAATTTGCATATGGTTAGGAGGGGGCAGTTCATGGAATTCCTGTGTATGATATTTATAGATCTTAGGTTGAGAATTTCTGAAATATGAGTCAAGTATGCTTAGTGGTAAAGGCACTTGTCATCAAGCCTGTGGAGATAATTTGAGAGAGAATCAACTCCCACAAGTTGTTCTCTGCTCTTTCACACATGTGTGAGGTATGTACACGCACAAGCATGCACACACACACACACACACACAAATAAATAAACAAAAGTAAAAAAAAAGGCAAACAAATAAAAGAATTCCTGGGATAGCCTCTGCTGTCCATGTTGGGGATGTATCATGGGTGGTAGAGGGCCTGGCAAACAGGCACCAGGCTCGGGGGTTGATCCTCAGACTGTGCAAACCACAGTGTCTGTGATCTTAGCACTCTAAGAGATAGAGGTAGAAGGAGAAATTAAAAGCCTTCAGAGTGATTATATACATGTATGTAATTGCCAAAGATCTAATTAAGTTTGAAAAAGAAAGTTAAAGGGCATCCTCAGCTCTAAGCACGTTTGGGGCCTTCCTGTGATATATGAAACCCTGTTTAAAAAAAAGGAGGGAGGAGAAATGTGGAGGGTCAAACAAGCTGTAGAATTTAAGGCAAGTAAATAGGGACACAAAGACAGAGTTACTCCCACTATGCTTGATGATAACATATGCAGTTTGCAAAATCATCATCTGTTCGTCTTTCCTCTTTATTCAATAATAATACCAATGGTAGGCACTATTTATTTATTTAGCATTAAATACTTTACCACTGAGCTACATTTTGGGCCCTGTAGTCACTGCTTAACAAAAAAAGTGACTGTGCTTGACACTTGGAATTCAAAGGATAGTCTATTGTGTTCTCAAAGAATATACAGGCCAGCTAGAGAATACACAAAAGTAGGCATAGGTGGCAATTAGTATAATATGTGTTATAAGAGATATTTGTACAGTAGATGTTAAGTGAAAGATGGGAACAGACCTGAATTATGCCTAGGATTTACCATCAGGGCGGGTAGGGAAAATTCTTGGAGAGGACAAGCAGGCTTTGTTTTGAAGGAATAATTGGGTTTAGCCTGGCTGTGCTCCAGTGTAGTAAATAGCATAGAGTGTGTGTTTGGGGACACAAAAGCCCTTCAGAATGACTTGAATGTAATGTATGAGACATGGAGGAAGACTGTGGGTAGAAATGAGATTGGGCAGCTAAGCATGGAGAAGACAGTGATTCCCAGGACAGATACCTGGTGGCTCAGCTTGTGGGCTTGAACATAGTAGTGAACTGTGGGATCACATGACCAGTGAAGAGCCTTAAAAAAAAATAGAAAGAAGAAATAATCCACTATGCTAATCAAACAAGAACAACCAGTTTTCGAAAGATGGTTAGATTCAGGATCTTACCAGGTATGTTAGGACTGATGTAATTCAGTTGTGGTGGGCTTGCCTAGCATTTGTCAGCCCACAGATCCAGTCCCCAAGCATGTAAGGGGCCAGGGAAGGTTCTGCTGAGGACAATGGAGAACCATTCACTGTTGACATTTTAAATCTGGGTTGGTGGTTATGATTATCTAAGATCTGCAGTGATGGTGGCCTGCAAAATGATAATGGTAGGAGATAGAAAGAGGAACTGGGCAGAGAGATACGGGGCTAGAAGCAAAGAGATTATTAAACAGACTAAAGAGAGGGCAGAGGGAGGAAAAGACTCTTGGACATCATTAGTCACAAAAAGCAACTGTAAGTAAAACACCTACTGACTTGCAAACAGATTTTTATCCTAATTTCAAAATTAAGTAAGGTATGTATTAAACATATGTAAAATCTTCATTTTTTCTTTTAAAGAAATATGTTATTATTATTACTATTATTATACTTACTTCATGTGTAGGGTGCTGTACTTGTACATATGTCTGTGTGCCACAGGCATGCAGTGCTTGTCGAGGCTAGAATAGGCTGCAAGATAAGGTTCTCTCTAGAACTGGAGTTAAAGGTTGTTATAACCACCATGTGCTCATAACTGCTAAGCCATCCCTCCAGCACCATGATCTTCATTTTAAAAAGCCAGTTGATTCTGTGTACCTGCAGTGTGTTTGGGCGGGAGCCCAATGTTAGGCATTGCCTTAGTCTGCTTTGTATTACTGTGAAAAAATCCCAACCAAAACCAGCTTAGGGTTTATTTCATCTCTCAACCCATCATCAAGGGAAAGAGAGAGCAGGAACTCAAAACAAGAACCTGAAGGCAGGAATTGTTGCAGAGGTAATGGAGAATTCTTACTTACTGGCTTATTCGACCTGGCTTGTTCGGTTTGCTTTCCTATATTCCCTGGGACTATCCGCCCAGGAATGACACTTTTCATAGTAGACTGGGTCCTTTCGCATCAATTATCATTCAAGAAAATGTCCTATAGGTTTGCCTACAGGCCAATTTGATAGGGGATTTTCTTAATTGAAGTTCCCTTTCAGATGACTCTAGCTTGTATGAAGTTGCCAAACAAAACAAAACAAAACAAAACAAAACAAAACAAAAAACCTAACCAACACAGGCATCTTCTTCAGTCTTTTGCCGTCTTATTTTTTATAACAGTGAATCTAGAGCTCACCATTTCTGCTAGAATGGCCTGCCAGTGAGCCCAAGGGTTCTACTTGCCCTCCATCCTCCTCTCTCATCCTAGCACTGGAGTAATAGAAATAAGTCTGCCCCTGGCTTTAGTTCATTTTACAATCTGATATATTTGAGATTTTTCTTTTGGCAATCTGGAGCTGCATTTCTGTGATTGCTGTAAATTACTTCCTTTCTTAGTTTTTCTTCCCGTTTTTTAGTTTCCCTAATTTTACTTACTGTCTTATGAATTTGAAATGCGTTCAGTGGAAGGTAGCTTTTTCATCAAGCCCGTTGGGTCGTCTCTGAATGTCTGGCCCTTAGCATTTTTGTGGTGATATGATTGGACCCAGGGCCTCTCATGCTAGGCAAGCATGCTACTGTGGAGTTATAGCCCAGCTCTCCCTGAAACAGGATGTTGCTAACAGGCCATGCTGGTCTTGAAGGTGCAGTCTCATGAGTAGCTAGAATCACAAGCATGAGGTACCAGGTCCAGCTTGAATTCCTGAAACGTGTTTTTTTTCTAGGAATTTTCCAGACAGTGCCCGGTGGTCAGAGGACAATTTGAGGAGTTGCTTCTCTCCTTGAAACATGCTGGGCTTACAGGATGGGCTGAAGAGCCCTCACTGGCTGAATTATCTTGCCAGCCCCTTATTTTGTTTTTGTATTAACTTTTTTTTTCTTAGTAAAGGAGATGTTTGTTCTCAAATTTGCATAGGAATGTAATATTTAATTTAAAACGATGACTCACATATGACCTTATAAGGACAGTAAAATTGACCGGAAAGATAAAGCGGGGGCAGTTGGCTCAGTTCTATAAAACCTGCCCACAAGGATTATCACTATTTTAAGGTTTGCGCAGGCTACATGATGAGTTCCCAGGACAGCCTGGTTACAGACCGAGACTCTCTCTCACGACTCCAAATAAACAAAGGAGGCAGGGTGGAAATACAGGGGCTGTAAGAATTAAATATGATATCTGAGTGGGAGGCCAGCCAGGGAAAAAAACATTTTCGTCCGTGGCCCAATCCAAGGACTGAACAGAAAGTTGACGCAGGCAGCTTTAGAGCACAAGCCTGGATGGGCGGCTTAAACCCCACAAGCGAGTTCCTCCGCAATTCGCCTGTCCTACTCTCAACTTTACTTCAACTGACTCTTTGCTGTGAACCCTCGCTGTGGCATTGGAAACAACTGCCACTGCGAGGAAGAGAATTTCGTGAGGGGCTACCAGCAGCCAGCAGCTTGCAGGGATGCAGAGTCTTGGTCCGAGCCTCTGACCTCCCCTCCTACTAGACCCCTGAGACCCCGCCCTTCTCTTGCCTCACGCCATTAGGCCACGCCCCTACGCAGCACTCCTTCACCGTCTCCTCCCCGGCGCGTCCTGAGGTCCCGCCCCTCTCGACCCTAGCTCTTGAGGCCTCCCCTTCCCAGCCGCCCGGGCGCTCCTAGACTTGAGGCCAGGTCCCTCCGCTCCTTCATTCCTCAGACGCTACGCTTTGCGAGCCCGCTCCTCCCTGGGGCCTAGGACCCCGCCCCTCTCAGCCCTTCTGCCCCAAGACCCCGCCTCTTAGGCGGTCCCCGCCCCAATGAAGACCTGCCCCTTCTTCAGACGCCCCGCCCCGCGCCCACAAACTCCCGCCTCCCGCCCCCTTGGGCGCTCCGTAGCAGTGACGTGCGCCGCAGGCTGGGCACTCTGCGGGGCTCTCCGGCCGGCGGGTGGAGACCGATCCGGGATCTGTCCCAGCAGGAAGCGTATCCCGGCCGCCGTCGTCTCCGGTGCTCGCTCTCGGCCGCGGCGTCGCGCTCGCCCTTCGCGTTCGCAGCCCGGCATCCTCTCCACAGCCACGACCCCTCGCGCACCTGCCTCGCCGGGTGAGTGTGGGCGCCTGCCCGCCTGCCTGTCCTCACCGCTTTGGCCTCTGCTCTGCCCAGCGCGGACTGGAGCTCTGGCTTCCTCTTCCCTGGCCGGCGGGGCTCCTGTCACCCGACGAGTCCCACCTGACACTGCGAGATAATTTTATTTTCTCTTCTGGAAGCACAGTGAAAATTCTACACAGACTAGTTTGTTGTCAAAAGTAAAGATCAAATGATACCATTAATAATTTAACTGTGCCAAAGAAGACCATGGTAGCATTCTGCAAAGCTGGAATTTTAGTTTCTAAGCGGTCTAGTGTCTTGAGTGTGAGTTTTACGGATGTGTTGCTGAAAATGACTTCATTATTTAATTCCAAAACGTCTTAAACTAATTAAAATGTGCTAGCTGTGTATTGTATTTTTAAATAGGAAATAATTTGATAAGGCCATTCTTAGATAATCTATGTCAGGAACTTTTACACAGAGATACATTTTATCCAGCATCAAGTATGTAGGGCAGGGCTGTTTAAATCCTAATGTGGAGATACTGTTGGAGCGCTGTACAGACGCTGCTCCGATTTCATACGTGTTGAATAAAACTTTAGTTTGTTCTCGTGGTACAGTTTCAGGATGTTCGAATATAATCAGCTTGGGGCTTTTAACAGCCCTTGAGACTCGGCTGTAACACCATAAAGTCTGAGTCTTGAGCTTGGTGGTGGTCATGGTCCAAAGGTTGGCCGCAGAACAGCAGCATTTCTGTACAAATTAACTCAACTTCAAGACATCTTGGCTTGTGGTTTTCCAACTGGGAAATGTTTAGTGAAAAAAAATTACCTTAATGCCCTCTAGCATTAATTTTAGAAATAGCCACAAATGCTACAAGGGAGTTGGGGGGGTGGGGGGAGGAAGAGCCAGAAACAATACAGTTCTTCAGAACAGCTCATTGACTTTTAAATGTCTGCTCACTTTCTGTGTTTGCAGTTGCACAGGAGTAAACACGCACAGTGATAAACAGAAGTCATTTTAGTCTGATGTTCGACTGCCTGCAGTGTTTTAACTTTGTGTGTGTGTGTGTGTGTGTGTGTGTGTGTGTGTGTGTGTGGTCTATTACCTATTTTTTTCTCTTCCTTTCAAGTTTTGTATTTGTTTTCAAAAATTACTTATAAAAGGTAGGGACAGAGTACTACCATTAAGAAAAGAGTATTGTGATTAAATATACAGCTAAAAAGCCGTGTAGTATAGATTTTACATATGATCTTTAGTACCTAAATACGTGAACAACTATGGGAACAAAAAAAGTGAAAAACTATGATTTCTAATAGAAACTACAACAACATATTAAAAACAAAGATGCAAATTATAGTCCATAGGGCTTATCTGAAAGGGATTTTCCCCTGTTTACACAATCAAGTTTTAAAATAACAGTGGCCAGGAAATCGGTGAGAAGCCGAAGGCTCCTCTCTCATCCTGTTGTGACTTTGCCTGGAGTCTGTGGTGGATCATTTATTGTTTAGACAACTGGTCTGTATCTGGGTTTTGAAAGGCGTTTAGATGGTTTTAAAGATCTCCACCATTGCAAAGTCTGAGTAAATACATAAGAACTCCACATTAAAAAAATTTCTCTAGTTTTTAACTTTCTCTTGGTACTCAAAACTCCACTTAGGATACAGGATTGTGAATGTCATTCAGTAGGTAGAGCCCTTGTCTTGTGTGTGTTTGTATGTGAGGCCCTGGATACTGGGGTTTTTATTTTCTGTACTAAAATATCTTATTTAAACATAAAAGTTTGAAAAACACATTCGAATTTGGATAAATTTGGTATAATGGTGAGTCCCAGAAAGAGATACTTTATGTGAACTAGTGATTTAGTAGCAGTATGCCACACAAAAAAAAAACCCTTAAGGTTTGATTTACAAAATAATTTAACAGGTTGACTTCTTTTCTTTTATAGAGGAGAAAACAGAGGCTCAGAGAATTAATACTTGCATGTAGCTTTGGAGGGTCAAAGTCCAGACTCTGAGTACACATGGGAGTCTTCTGACAGCAAAGCCTCTCTTCCCCTTTCACCAGAAGTTGTCTTGATTTCCGTTTACTTGGTGACCTATTGAGAGCCCTTTGTAGAACTGATCTGGAGATTAGAAGTCGGTACCCTGAGTAAACTGTGATAGGCCATGCATGGAGTCTAGAACTAATTGAGTTCTGTCTTCTTTCTCAAGACCTTGAGCAGTGACCCAATGCTGGGGCATCATTTCTGGTGTGGTTCCAGCATGTATTAAGTATTATGTGCTTTTCATTTTGATGGGTTTGTAGAAATTGACACTGCAGTCTAATCCTGGATTGATTTTGTTGTAGCTGAGCAGTACTTGCTATTTCTGTTTAGGATGGAACTTCATATTTTGTCTTTCAAATGAGCTAGATTGTTACTCCTAAATACAGTAACAGTCTCTTAAATGGTATTCAGTTAGCTTTAACCTTAGGAGGGAGACATGCTTCAAGATTAAGATATCCAGGCCTGGGAGATGCTCAGCAGGTAAAAGTACTTGTTTGTAACCCTGAAAACCTTAGTTGGATCCCTAGGTCTTCTAAGAAGCAGTTTCTATGGATTGTCCTCTGACTACCGCACATATGCCATGGCACATAGCCATGAACAAATAGTTGTAATTTAAGAAAGAAAAATAATAATAAAGATTAAGATATCCTTCTACCTCCACCTCCCAAGTACCAGAGCTTGCAGCTCTGCCCTTGCTTATTTATGTAGTACTAGGATCAAACCTAGTTTGGTGCTAGGTAGGCACTTCATCAGGGGAACTATATCTTTAGCCTAGGACAATATTTATTTATTTATTTATTATTGTGTGTATATAATTTGTGTGTGCCCACACATAGCATACCTGTAAAAGTCAGAGGACAGTTTTGTGGAGTCAATTTCTGCCAAACTCAGGTCATCCTCCTTGCCTGGCAAGTGGGGTTTTTTGTTGTTGTTGTTGTTGTTTTTTGTTTTGTTTTGTTTTGTTTTGTTTTTATCTGCTGAGCCATCTTGCTACCCCACCCCCAACCCCTGCCTTTTTATATTTTTGGGACAGGGTCTCACTATGTACTACAACCTTAACTAGTCTGGAACTCACTGTTGAGACTGACCTGGCTGGCCCTAACCCACAGGGATACATTTACCTCTGTCTCCTGAACACTGGAATTAAAGGCATATGCTACCACACCCAGCTTATACAATGTCTTTTAATCAAAATGGTCATGGCTTCTTAAAGAAAAGTTACTTTATTAATTATTTGTGTGTGTGTGTGTGTGTGTGTGTGTGAATGCCTGTAGAGGCCAGAAAAGGGTATCATACCCCATTTACCTGAAGCTATGTTTGGTTGTGAGCTGCCTGGCTTGGGTGCTGGGAACCAAATTTGGGTCTGCTGGAAGAACAAGTGCTCTTAACCTCTGAGCTATCTCTCTAGCCCTCTTTTTCTGTTTCTCTCTGTCTCTCTGTCTCTCTGTCTCTCTGTCTCTCTGTCTCTCTGTCTCCCTCCCTCCCTCCCTCCCTCCCTCCCTCCCTCCCTCCCTCCCT